AGATCATAGAATATTTTTAGTGTTGCAGAATTTTCTCTTGGGTCCTCTTTCACTGTCCTGACTTCTAATCTGGGATAATAAATATAATAACCAACAATGGCCAGATCATATATAAAAATAGAGGTTGGATCCATAACCTTGCAGCAGCTTGCCCAGGAAACCAACACCTTATCTATCATAACCCAATAAAGCAGGTTGCTTTAAGTTGGACTCGACTGCTTAGCTCTAATAACTATTGTGTTATATATTTAACAGTTGCTAAATATCAGATCTTTCAATGTGATTTTTTTTTTTGCCTTTTTATACTGTTCATGGGGTTCTCATGGCAAGAATAATGAAGTGGCTTGCCATTCCCTTCTCCAGTGAACCACATTTTGTCAGAATTCTCCACCATGACCTGTCCATCTTGGGTGGCCCTACATGGCATGGCTCATAGTTTCATTGAGTTAGACAAGGCTGTGGTCCATGTGATCAGTTTGATTAGTTTTCTGTGATTGTGGTTTTCATTATGTCTGCCCTCTGAGGGATAAGGATAAGAGGCTTATGGAAGCTTTATCACAATAATCCAAATCTACGCCCCAACCAGTAATGAAGAAGCTCAAGTTGAATGATTCTATGAATCTACAAGACCTTCTAGAACTAACACCCCAAAAAGATGTCCTTTTCATTATAGAGGACTAGAATGCAAAAGTAGGAAGAGAAGAGATATCTGGAGTAACAGGCAAATTTGGTCTTAGAGTACAAAATGAAACAGGGCAAAGGCTAACAGAGTTTTGCCAAGAGAACACACTGGTCATAGCAAACATCCTCTTCCAACAGCACAAGAGAAGACTCTACACATGGACGTCACCAGATGGTGAAAACAGAAATCAGATTGATTATATTCTTCGCAGCCAAATATGGGGAAACTCTATACAGTCAGCAAAAACAAAACTGGGAGCTGACTGTGGCTAAAATCATGAACTCCTTATTGTCCAATTCAGACTTAAAGTGAAGAAAGTAAGGAAAACCATGAGACCATTCAGGTATGACCTAAATCAAATCCCTTACACTTTTACAGTGGAAGTGACAAATAGATTCAAGGGATTAGATCTGATAGACAGAGTGCCTGAAGAGCTATGGACGGAGGTTCATCACACTGTACAGGAGACAGGGATCAAGGCCATCCCCAAGAAAAAGAAATTCAAAGAGGCAAAATGGTTGTCTGAGGAGGTCTTACACATAGCTGAGAGAAGAAGAGAAGCAAAAGGCAAGGAAGAAAAGGAAAGCTATACCCATTTGAACGCAGAATTCCAAAGAAAAGCATGGAAAAATAAGAAAGCCTTCCTCACAATACAAAGCACTAGAGGAAAACAATAGAATGAGGAAAACTAGAGATTTCTTCAAGAAAATTAGTGATACCAAGGAAACTTTTCATGCAAAGATGGGCACAAAAAGGACAGAAATGGTATGGACCTAATAGAGAAGAAAATATTAAGAAGAGTTGGCAACAATACACAGAAGAACTATACAAAAGAGATCTTAATGACCAAGATAACCACAATGGTGTGATCACTCAACAAAGTCAGACATCCTGGAATGCAAAGTCAAGTGGGCCTTAGGAAGCATCACGACAAACAAAGCTAGTTGGAGACGATGGAATTCCAGTTGAGCTATTTCAAATCGTAAAAGATGATGCTGTGAAAGTGCTGCACTCAATATGCCAGCAAATTTGGAAGACTCAGCAGAGGCCACAGGACAGAAAAAGGTCAGTTTTCATTCCAATCCCAAAGAAAGTCAACACCAAAGAATGTTTGAACTACCGCACAATTCCACTCTCTCATACGCTAGCAAAGTAGTGCTCAAAATTCTCCAAGCCAGGCTTCAACAGTATATGAACCGTGAACTTCCAGATGTTCAAGCTGGATTTAGAAAAGGCAGAGGAATCAGAAATCAAATTGCCAAAATCCGCTGGATCATTGAAAAAGCAAGAAAGTTCCAGGAAAACATCTACTCCTGCTTTACTGACTACACCAAAGTCTTTGACTGTGTGGATCACAACAGACTGGAAAATTCTTCAAGACATGGGAATACCAGACCACCTGACCTGCCTCCTGAGAAACCTGTATGCAGGTCAAGAAGCAACAATTAGAACTGGACATGAAATAATAGACTGGTTCAAAATTGGGAAAAGAGTATGTCAAGGCTGTATAGTATGACCCTGCTTATTTAACCTATATGCAGAGTATATCATGAGAAACGCTGGGCTGGTTGAAGCACAAGCTGGAATCAAGATTACCTGAAGAAATATCAATAACGTCAGATAAGCAGATGACACCACCCTTATGGCAGAAAGCGAAGAGGAACCAAAGAGCCTCTTGATGGAAGTGAAAGAGGAGAGTGAAAAAGCTGGCTTAAAACTCAACATTCAAAAAATGAAGATCATGACATCTGGTCCCATCACTTCATGGCAGATAGGTGGAAAAACAATGGAAACAGAGATTTTATTTTCTGGGGCTCCGAAATCACTGCAGATGATTGACTGCAGCCATGAAATTAAAAGTCGGTTGCTTCTTGGAAGAAAAGCTATGACCAATCTAGACAGCATATTAAAAAGCAGAGACACTACTTTGCTAACAAAGGTCCGCCTAGTCAGAGCTATGGTTTTTTCCAGTAGTTATGTATGGATTTGAGAGTTGGATCATAAAGAAAGCTGAGTGCTCAAGAATTGATGCTTTTGAATTGTGGTGTTGGAGAAGACTCCTCAGAGTCCCTTGGACTGCAAGGAGATCCAACCAGTAAATCCTAAAGGAAATCAGTCCTGAATACTCATTGGAAGGACTGATGCTGAAGCTGAAACTCCAACACTTTGGCCACCTGATGTGAAGAACTGACTCATTGGAAAAGACCCTGATGCTGGGAAAGATTGAAGGCAGGAGGAGAAGGGGAAGACAGAGGGTGAGTTGGTTGGATGGCATCACCGACTCGATGGACATGAGTTTGATCAAGCTTCAGGAGTTGGTGAGGACAAGGAAGACTGGTGTGCTGCATTCTATGGGGTAGCAGAGTCAGACATGACTGAGTAACTGAACTGAACTATTAGATCTCTTTTTAAAATGTATATTTATTTATTTTCTGTCCAGGTTTTAGTGGAAGCATCTAGGATCTCAGTTGCAGCAGGTGGGATCCTGTTCCCTAACTAGGGATCAAACTCAAGGCCCAAGTCCTCTGCATTGGGAGCATAGAGTGTTAGTCTCCCGATCACCAGGGAAGTTAACACTTAATTGTTTCTTAATGGCCTTCCCTTGTGGCTCAGCTGGTGAAGAATTCACCTTCATTGAGGGAGACCTGAGTTAGATCCCTGGGTTGGGAAGATCCCCTGGAGCAAGGAAACGCCACCCACTCCAGTATTCTGGCCTGGAGACTTCCTTGGCATTGCAGAGTCAGACGTGACCGAGCGACTTTCACTTTTCAAGAACAAACCATGAATTCTCTAACAATTGATCCCAAATGGCCAGTACTTGATTAATAACTGACAGTCTCCCTAATTTTCGTCCATGCCTCCAACTTAAGACTAACCACAGAAAGCCAAATATGCATCCCTAGGCAGTCACATAAGGGGTTCTCCTTTCTAGATAGCTTCCCTCATGTTTACAGCCTCCAATCATTGCACACCTGAAGACTTCCTCTCTTTCCACTGCTGTTTCCTACTTTCCTGTCTGCCTTTGAGTCTGTGCACAAGCTCAAGTGATGTCAGCTGAGTCACTTGATGTTGCAAGCACTGAATAAACAGCCTTTGCCTATTCTTATTTGGTTGATCTTGATCTTTATTTTTACAAACCCTAATATATTACTTTTGTGTATGGATCTTTATGTTGTAAAAGTCATTCCATATATTAATATGCATAAATGTCATTTGTTTTTACTGTTATATGGTGTTACCATATCACAGATTATTTCTCTGTTTTACTGTTGATGGATATTTGGTCTTTTTGCAGCTTGGGCCTTTTTGGAATAAAGCAGCTATCCAAATTTGTACACATCACTCAGTGAATATATGCTCATGTTGAACTTTGGGATCTCGGTTAGGTGTATTTAGCTTTAGAGGCTGCTGCTGCTAAGTCACTTCAGTCGTGTCCGACTCTGTGCGGCCCCATGGACGGCAGCCCAGCAGGCTCCCCCATCCCTGGGATTCTCCAGGCAAGAACACTGGAGTGGGTTGCCATTTCCTTCTCCAATGCATGAAAGTGAAAAGTGAAAGTGAAGTCGCTCAGTCGCGTCCGACTCTTAGCGACCCCATGGACCACAGCCTACCAGGGAATTTCCAGGCAAGAGTACTGGAGTGGGGCGCCATTGCCTTCTCTGTTAGCTTTAACAGATACTGCCCAACAGTTCTTCAAGAGGCTGAATCCATTTACTCTCCCACAGGCAGTATAATCTGATAGAATTTTATCCTAATATATCTTTTTTTATTCTTGGAAGTCTTTTATTGAATTTTTTATGCTGGAAAGTCATTCTTCTCTGCAAAAAGAGTTGTATAAATTAAAATTAGATTTAAACAAACTTCTGTGACCATAAGGCTATATTAAAATTTATGTTTTGTACTGTTATCATTAGTTATTAGTAGTACCCAATTTATCAAAATAACATGTGTGATGAATTTGAGAAAACTAATAAACATGAAAAGCAAAATTGTATCGAGAAAACATTACCTATAGAGATAATGCACTTAAAAATTAGTTTATGCACCTGTGGACAAATAATCATTGCTAGAAGATAATATTCAGCATCACTTTGTTCTTATTAAATTTTTTTTTCATGTTAAGTGCTAAAAAACTATGTTCACAGCAAGTATGAATAGATACTGTTATAGGATACTCTGATCACAGTATCATTCAATTGTTTGAGCTATTTTTGAGTAAAAACGTCCCAAGGAGATCAGAGGGTTGCCATGAGCTAGAAGGACCAGATCCTTACTAATTCCTCAGAGATCTTCTCCATCACCGAAGAAGGCAATTTTATTATGTGTGTCTCTGGTTCCAGGTAGAGCGCTGGATAAACAGGACCCTTGCACATCCCCGGGAGCAGGTGCTGGTGTCAGCAGCAGGTCCGCCTAGGGTTCCCATCGGCGAGGCAGCGAAGAGGACCACGCCCTCCGCCGCTGCGCGGGGCTCCGGCAGATCGCGGGCGGCGTGCGCCGCGCAGCGCTGCTCGCCGAGGCCCCCGCTCCCTGGCCACGCCCACTTCCTGCCCCATCCCGGGTCTTTCCAGGTCTCCTCTCCCGGTGAACCGGATGCGCCGTCAGTTTTCTCCTCAGCGTCCTCCGCTGGTTCCCCGCACCCCGGCGAGGCCGTAGGCATCCACGGGGGCACGGGCAGGGGGCTCCCGGAGGCTGGCCTGGCAGGTAGAGGGCGCCGGTAGGAGCTGGGCGCGCACGGTTACCGCGCGTGGAGGAGACACTGCCCCGCGGCGATGGGTGCCAGGGGCGCTCCTTCACGCCGGAGGCAGGCGGGGCGGCGGCCGCGGTATCTCCCCACCGGGAGCTTTTCCTTCCTCCTCCTGCTGCTGCTCCTGTGCATCCAGCTCGGCGGAGGACAGAAGAAAAAGGAGGTAGGACGAATCCCGTGGGCATTCCTGGGAGGGCCGGGGCGGGTCCGGGAGGGCGAGCCGCGTTGCTGGGCAGATGGGCCGCCGGGCGTGGGCGATGGCTGTTTTTGGGGGTGCTGGCGGAGTCGGCGGGCAGGCCTTTGCGCATGTCCTTTGAGCCCCACAGTTTCAAAAGTGGGGTTGCCATGTCCTTCCTCAGAAAACAGCGCCAAGCCCCTCGCTCTTAGGTCACGGCGCGCTTTTGACCCTTAATTGAAGGCTAAGCCTCCGGGCCCCTGAGTCAGTAAAAAGGGGTGTGTTGGATGTGAAAATACCGTTGAGGAGTAATTGAAGCCTGCGTGGAAAGAACGGTTTGTTCCTTGTGTTCATTATCCGGCGCCCTTCGTTATCCGTTTAGGAGGCAACAGAGCATATTGAGACTTGTTTAAAGTTATTCTGTATTTTATGAAACCCTTATAAACCTGTATATTTTTCCTTAGGTTACATTCACGGTATAATTGTGCCAGTACCCTCACATTATATAGGTTGCACATATTTGTTTGTGAAATTCAGATCACCTGACCACAGTCTTAGCCCTCTAATAACTTTGATGAGGGGCTTCTCTTGTGGCTCAGTGGTAAAGAATTCGCCTGTCAGTGCAGGAGCCAGAGGAGGCTTGGTTCGATCCCTGGGTCGGGAAGATTCTCTGGAGGAGGAAACGGCAATTCACTCCAGAATCTTGCTTGGGAAATCCCATGGACGGAGGAGCCTGGTGGGCTTCCGTCGTGAGGTGGCAACAAGACTGAGCAACACAGCACACGTGCAAAACTTTGATGAGGGCGAGGATTGAAATAACTGACCGTATTTAAAGTAATTGTCGAGTTATTTGTGAATTTCAGTTGTCCTTGGATAACTTTTACCTTGGATGCTCGATCTATAAGGATTAGAAAAAAAATTACTCGGAAATGTGAGTAAGGTTTCTAATTCTACGTCATTTTAGTGAGAGCATCTCCTCATATTAATTCAAAATGGTTTTTCCCGGTGAAGTGTTATTTACATACACCTGGCTCTAATTCAGGTTTCAAATGTTACTGGCACTTTCTTGATAACTGGGTTGAGAGCGGGAAAAAACATCCTCACACACAAAATAATTCTGGTTCTCTTTACTCTTGGCTTGAAACAACTTTGGATTAAAATATTTTCTCCCCTTTAACTTTTTTAATTTTAACATGAAAATAGGCTTTAGCGAAATTCTTGGAGGAGTTCTGGTAAGATTTTTGGTGAAGAACCACTGTTAACTTAAGACTGTATTTACAAATATAACGATTTTTTTCCCCCTACCGCCTGGTGTTTATATACATTGCTAGATTCTTAGATTTCATAGTTTTTCATGAGAAAAGGAGGAGATTTGAAAAGTAGTTTTTGTGGGAATTACCAGAGCAGAGGGCAATTAAAACGATGAGGAACTCCAGGAAAATTCTTATGATTTGTCTCCTAGAAAGATTTCTGTGACTGTGGTTACTTTCAGTTGAAAGGGAAAAAAAAAAGCCCCAAAAGAAGCCTGAAAAGTGTATATCTTCAAAGCATCTTAGCATCTCTAAATATGACTGCTTTAACATGTGACAACGTGCATTAATTTAGTATAAGTGGCTTCCCTGGTGGATTAGTCAGTAAAGAGTCTGCTGCAATGTGGGAGACCTGGGTTCGATCCCTGGGTTGGGAAGATCCCCTGGAGAAGGAAACGGCACCCCACTCCAGTATTCTTACAGGGAGAATTCCATGGACAGAGGAGCCTGGTGGGCTACAGTCCATGGGGTCACAAAAAGTCAGACACGACTGAGTGACTAACTAACTTTCATAAATTATGATAACATCTGTTTCCACTAAATTATTTTTATAAAAGGTATTTTAAAAATGCAGTATTTTGGAGAAATTTGTTAAGGATTAAAAAAGGATGTCTGCCAAAACTTTTTCTTTCTCTTAAATAGAAGAGTCTAATACTGCTACATGGTGATATTGTAGAATATATATATTTAAGGAAAAGAGAAAGATAACAAATAGCTGAAATTTTAATGCTTTACCAAATGAGCATGCATATTTCTGAAACGTAGTGTAGTTCTCTTTCTGATGCTCAGTTACAAAACTATGGTCCTAAACAGACATTTCTCCAAAGAAGACATACAGATGGCTAACAAATACTTGAAAAGATGCTTAATATCGCTCATCAGAGAAGTACAAATCAAAACCACAATGAGATATCACCTCACACCAGTCAGAATGTCCACCATCAAAGTCTACAAAACAGTAAATGTTGGAGAGGGTGTGGAGAAAAGCGAACTCTTGCACTGTCAGTGGGAATGTAAATTGATGCAGCCACTAGGGAAGACAGCATGGAGATTTCTTAAAAAACTATTTTATTTCTTAATAAAACCACCATATGACCAAGCAGTCTCACTCCTAGGCATGCATATACCCCGAGGAAACCGAAATTGAAAAAGACACATGTACACCAATGTTCATTGCAGCACTATTTACAAAGCTACAACATGGAAGCAACCTAGATATCCATTGACAGATGAATGGATAAAGAAGTTGTGGTACATGTACACAGTGGATTATTACTCAACCATAAAAAGGAACAACTTTGAGTCAGTTCTAGTGAGGTGGATGAACCTAGAGCCTTTTATACAGAGTGAAGTGAGCCAGAAAGAGAAAGATAAATATCATATACTAATGCATATATATGGAATCTAGAAAGATGGTCCCGAAGAATTTATTTGCAGGGCAGCAATGGAGAAACAGACATAAAGAACGGACTTATGGATGCAGGAGAGGGGAGGAGAGGGTGAGATGTATGGAAAGAGTACCATGGAAACTTACATTACCATGTGTAAAACAGATAGCCAACGGGAATTTGCTCTGTGGCTCAGGAAACTCAAAACAGGGGCTCTGTATCAACCTAGAGGGGTGGGATGGGGAGGGAGATGGGAGGGAGGTTCTAAAGGGAGTGGCTATATGTATGCCTATGGCTGATTCATGTTGAGGTTTGACAGAAAACAGGATTCTGTAAAGCAATTATCCTTCAATTAAAAAACAAACAAACCATGGTCTCTTCAAATACTGAGAGAAAAACATTCTTTATTGGAAATACTGGAAAGTGATTAGTCTCAAGTGTTTTATTTTTCTAGGGCTATTGCAGTGTTGTTTTGACCATAGATGGTTGGTTGGTTGGTTTTTGCTTAGATTAGAACCTGATGCCCAGTATGAGATTTGACACCATTGAACCAGAAAAATATAACAGTTGGAACTTAATTTACTACAATAAATACTACTAACATAAGTGCCAGAATATCGGAGTTGGCATGGATGGTGTTTTCTTTTGTGCTGGGGAATCCAAATGGAAACCTACAGTTGAACCTAGAATCAGAAACTGGACCTGGGTGATTTCAAGGAAGTCACGTTTATGACAGTAATAGTTACCCTTATAGGTTTTTTTAATAGAATGGTGTGGTTACAATTCATACTCTAATTATTTGACATTAAATCACTTAACTTCCTGAATTTTAGTTACGTTTCTTAAAAACATAAGACATAATACCTTAGACATAATACAACATTTCAGGGTTGTGGGATTAAATAAGACTATATTTAAAGTGTTTAGTACAATGCACATAACAAATGATCAGTGATTTGGGTGCTGTAATTATGTGTCCTGATTTAAATGAAAGAATGACATAGACATAATGAAATCCTAAAATATGTAAAATGTGTAAAATGGTTTTGCTAAGTTAACTGACTTTGTAATAACTAAATTATGGTTTATGGAATAAATTGTTACTTATATTATTTTGAGACACTGGGAATTCCAAACTCTTACATTGTTTGAAAACTTCCCAAAAGGAGGTTTTTATGTCATGGAACAATTGGTGATATTTATGGCTATGTGTGTGTCTGTCTATATTTGTATATATCTATTTCTTCATGACGACATTTTTACTCACTAAATATAGTTAGCTTTCCTATATTCTTTATTTAAGAATATAGTCAAGAGAAATAAGTGAATAAAGAAAGAAAATCAGCTAGAGATTTTTATAGTCCATTTCCTTAGTTACATTGAGTACAGTCTTGTTAATTGATTTTTAAATCCTCGTGTTAAGTGGTATGAATTTGCGGGAGACTTTAGTTTCTTAGTAGTATATCATTTGCATTCTCGTGCCTCATGGGTTGCCATTATTTTGACAGTTTCTCTGTTTCTTCCACTGTTTAATCAACTTCATTTAGAATTGTTTCAATCTGTAATGACTTCTTCTAATCATATAAAAAGAACTCAAATTCTCTAACTATTTCCAGTGGTCTTAGTGACTTTGCCACCATCAAAAGTAGCTGCCGTCAGCCCTTCATATCAGTGGATCCTGTATCTGCAGACACAAAGGGCCAGCTGTCCCCCCACCATTTCGTAGGATAAAGGGCTTGAGTAGTTTCAGATCTTGGTTATCTGCTGGATCCTGGAACTAATTTCCATCAGATCAGTTCAGTTCAGTCGCTCAGTCGTGTCGTGTCTGACTCTTTGTGACCCCTTGGACTGCTGCACACCAGGCTTCTCTGTCCATCACCAACTCCCGGAGTTTGCTCAAACTCACGTCCATCGAGTCGGTGATGCCATGCAACCATCTCATGCCCTGTCGTCCCATTCTCCTCCTGCCCTCTCTCTTTCCCAGCATCAGGGTCTTTCCATCAGATACTGAAGGACAACTATAATATATATTATACTTTCTGCAAAGAAAATGATTAGCTAACAGGCTGGAACATGTAGGTAACAATGAACATGCAATATGAAGCATTGAGTGACTCATATTTTTTAAGAGAAGTAACATTATTAGTTGCCTCTAAGATAATTTCTGTAAGCACATTTTACACTAAGATGTATGTACCCAGTATCTGGTTACTTTTTAGTGGTACAGCCCTGAAATACTTTACTGTCTTAGTAAACGGTAAGGAAAGGATGAAACTTAAGCCGTGGATTT